TTTCACTTTTGGGTTAAATATTACTAATGGCTGGCTTAGTACTTCATTAAATTTCTTTAAAAAAAGGAAAATCAGAAATTGTTTCTCTAGTATGTTCTGGGCTACACTTGATATGTTAATGATAATATTAATGAGGGACTTAATAAAGCTGAATACAACTGGATATTAACTTTTCGTGATAAATTAGCTTTCATTAGAAAGAGTTATTGTTTTCAGGAGTTCCTTATAAGTAAATAAACTCTAGAATAACCACAGACTGAGGTAGAAAGATAAAAATCCCAGGCCATAAAATATTACTTTCTCCCCACTTCATGGCCAGGAAGCCAAACATTTTCCATATTAAATTAATTCATGAGTTTTTAAAAGATAAACCTTGATATATACTGTATACGATTAGCAAAATGTCATTTAAATGAGTATAGTCTTAAAGGAAGTGGAAAGGTTATTTCCAAGATGGAATTTGATCTGTTAAAAAAAAAATACTCACAGGAAAGTTTTCAACATTTTATGGGGGTATAGAATTACTACAAAACTAGTTTTTTTTTTTTCAATCAAATAAAGTCAGCCTGGGATTATCAGCTTTGGGGGTAGGCGGGAGCCACACCTACAGCATGTTTTAGAAGTTGGAAAGCTGTTTGGTTAAGGACAAGCCTATGGCCAGGAGGGATTTTCCACAGTATCATTGTTAACTCCAAGTTATGATGAAACCAAACTTTGTTTACACACGCCTCTCCCTTGATTCAGTTATTAATATTTGACTATAGAGAACTGACATTTTCCAAAGCTCTCATTCTAGCTTTCTTAGAGGGTCAGGTGACGTCAGTGCAAGACAAAACGACACCACATTGGCATTAATGGGAGTTCCTAGGTCTAAGAATTTGATTTAGTTTTAATCATTAAACCAATTTGGCAAAGTCTTTTGCCATAAAATGAAATACATTGAACTAGCTATGTTTTTGATAGGGAACCAATTTTAAAAGACTTTTAAATTAAAATATTAGAAAAATTAGAGATGAAATTTAGGAGTTGAATGTAATATCTAAAAAAATGAGGGAATCTGAGGGCTCTTATTTAAGAAGACCAGTTTCAGAGAGTCTCGAATGAGTGAGAAAAAAGGCAAATGAGTCTTAACTTCTCAACTTCTCAGAAAGCATTTCTCCCTCAATTATGCACGATTTCAAGTTTAAATAAATAAATAATGGTGGCTAGAGCCCAAGCAATGAACACCTAAACAAGTAATAAACAAGTATTTGTAAGTGTCCATTTTGTGCAAAGTCCT